CTCAGAGTCTAACGTGTTTTCTTTCGTATCAATAGAAATATTTCGATTCAATTCATTTTCAGCAGATTCTGAGATGCCTTCGCCTTTGTTAGGTTCATTTGAATTGACAAAGCTGTCAAATTCAGGGCATTCACTAACAGAATCATTGATTTTGATTGATTTGAAAGTATGCTCAACTTGATCGTTTAGATCTATCGACTCAGATTTTTCTTGTTCATGCACTTATTTAAGGTCTTCACTTATGCTTGGCGTTTCCCGGAGCTTAATTCTAACTCCTCTGTTGTTTGTGACAAAATAAATGGTGGGTAATTTTGTATAGGTTTAAAGTAATCAAGCAAAACTCCCCGAAGTTTTGAAAATTCTTCTTATCTAGCTTTCTTTAATCTTCAATACTAAGCACCCGACCATTTTCTCTTTGTGGTGTTGAAAGAATTAGACATTGCAGTTAGTCTTTAACATTACACCATGATCCATGATGTACATTAAATGATATTAAAATAGATTTCCCAATAATAGAATAAGTGTAAATATTCATATATTTAGGTCATGTTAAATTCAATAGAAATCACCACGGCAAAGTTGAATATTAGAATATTAACCCCCATCCAATTAGCGTTCTAGTTTCTCCACTAAATGTATGTTTTCTACAAACATCGTGAAAAATCTTGCAGGCGTTGTTGCCACAAACGAAACATCTAATTGTAGAATGCTTGTCAGTATCTTATTCTTTAATCGACCTCCTGACAAGGTTTTATTTTGGTCTGTCTACTTCCTTTCTCCCCTAATTCCCTAAAAATAACTTCATTCACTGAATATATAACTGTGAAAACAACTGTTCTGTTTTAAATGCGTTTTTAATTTTTTATAACCAATATTTAAAACTTGATGACTCGTATTCAATTCAGCGCCCCCCAAAATCAACAGCTAGAGGGGCCCTGCCCCCCCTGCCCCCCTGCTACCACGCCACTCATCCATCCGCCATTAAATGCAGTGATATTTTTACATATATGTGCTCCATGAATCATTATATGCAGTGATATTTTTTCGTCATTATATTGTAGTGATCTTTTGATTATACCATAACTTATTATGTGGTTATTTCGTTATGTGGTTATTTTGTAATGTGTTTATTTCATTATGTGGTTATTTTGTAATGTGTTTATTTCGTTATGTGGTTATTTTGTTATGTGGTTATTTCGTTATATGGCTATTTGGTATGTAGTTATTTCGTTATGTGGTTATTTTGTTATGTGAATATTTCGTTATATGGCTAATTTGTTATGTGGTTATTTCGTTATATAGTTATTTTGTGATGTGAATATTTCGTTATGTGGCTATTTTGTTATGTGGTTATTCCGTTAAGTGGTTATTATTATTTCGTCTTTATGTGATGTCTAATAAGCTGAATTAACTGAACCACAGGCTTAAGTTTCAATGATGTTGAACTCAGAGATTATAAATAGGACCAGTGGCATTGATGACGTTTTTAGGCGATGCGTGAATTGGGAGGCAAATTTCGTCCCGGATTAAAACACAAGTTAGCAAATGATACCGTCTGTGTCGAGTTTTGGACTTATTTTAGTAAGTTTGTTTCTCTTTTTACGAAAATTTGTCATTTTGAAGCTTTTGTTCTTGTTTTTAGCGTTTCTGTCGAGAGTCAGCAAGGCAGCACACTATTCTTGACATTAAATTCACTCAACCCTGTCTTTGCAACCTATGTAGTGGGGAAATCTCGATTTGGCGGGTGTCTGTTATGAATTTTCCTAGGCATGACGTCAAAATTTAGAAAACTTTTATAATATGGGGGAGTGGATATAAAAAATGGCAAGTTGCGCGTGTTTTTTCTGTTGATAAAAATTTGTAATTTTCTCACTCGGTTAGAAAAGCAATGTGCTTTCATGTTATCAACGGAACTTTTAACAGCACGAATATTTTACTGACCGCATTGTGAACAAAAGAACATTATGTGTTATTGAGTTAAAGAGTTGTAGTAGAGCCTATTATGGAAGAGTATGTATCAATTTGATAACGACAACATGACTTTGGAATAGACTGACACGCATATATCATGATTATACACCTATAAATATTTCGGGTTCACAGCTATTGGACCACAACGTTTACAAAAGTTTTAGACGAATTATAAATTTTGCCAGGACCACTTAACTAATGAGCTAACAGGGAAGTTTTTCTCTGACATGTTAAACTCATTTTATCATCACTCTGTAGACTCTGTTAATTTATAGAAGAAATTTCAGTCCATTTTTCCGTGAACGACAATTTTACTCTTTACTAAGCGTTTAAGCGACAAATGACTATATAATATTTATCTGATAAAAACGGTTTTCATTTAAAATAGCAATGAATGTTATGTTAAATTTGTGAGGATGTCTCTATAATCGTCGAAGGTAAAGCACCGGAAGCGGTTATACTTATGCTCGCTTGAGCTTGCCGTCGGCTTTCCGAGCGCATGACATTTATAAAGCAGTGCATTGTAATATTTTAAGGAACAAACATTACAGTTTGCGAAAGACATGGACCAATAGGTGCATTAGGTCCCATTCCGCTTTGTTTAATGTAATGTGTAATCAGTCGTATAAAAAAAATCAATTCTATGCTCATAATTACTGTACGTATAGTTTATGTAAATGGATGCTAATGTGCCATGATAAAGGACTGCAACAAGGAATTCAAGTTTGTATGTGTATAAAAGTGATTCCTTGCTGAAAACAAATGAGTAACATTAACTCAGAAGAAATCAGATAATATACTTATACACAAACGCGGGAAGACTGAGAAATATATATATGACACCATATAATTGTTGGTGTTAATGGATGTGTTGATCTTGTGCTGGTTGGCAACAAATTAAACAAAATAAAGGTAACATCCTTTAAGCTCCAGTTAACATGAGTTAATTGGTTATTGGCTGAGTTCTAACTTTCACGTCAACTGCGACATATACATTTAAAGACCAATAATTTAAATGAAGCAATTGCTTTGCTATCGCTTGCCTTTCGCAAACAAATTTGGTAAAATGAACTTTGAAAAACAGCTCTTCCAATTATTCCTTATTAATTATTTGCATATTATACATACATACAGTGCTAATTCTTGCATGTTATTCTATAAATTAACTTAGTTATATGAAAATTTAAAAAAAAGAGGTGATACAATTACTTTGTCTGTATTAAGTGACAAAATATACAAGATAATGCAGTTCAATGCTCATCATATAAATCGTATGTTTTAAAAATTACTGTGCTTTTGTCCATTTGGTATTGTGTCGCTTATAACAGATAATAATTGATTGAAAACACCCAATAGCAAATTGCAAAAGGTACTTTTTGCCTACGTGGTGCGAGAGGCAGCAACTACCTTGCGATAGAAACTCCTAGCTTATAATCTCCCTATGCTTTAATTCTATGTTTTAATTAAACTATACGCAGTGAAAACGTATGTTATTCTTTTTTCTTAATATAAATATCAAAGCCCAGCAAAGTGCTTTTAAAAGAGCCATTAAATGCAAAAGTAACATATAAAAAGAAATATTTATTTAGAAGCGTAACGTTTCGAAGCGTAACGACTCTCAAGACACCATCAGACAGTATTAAATTACAATTATCGAGAGATGTATATATAATAGCTATTTACATATTATTAAATTATATGGTGAGATGAAAACGTGAAGGTAAATATGGGATAAGATGGTATAACGTGGGATAAGTAGAAACACGGAAGAAACAAAACACACACACAATCATAAAGTATATAGACATGAGGAGTGATGAAGTTAGATTAAAGCAACTGAAGGGCAATGGAGTTTCCTTGGACGTTAAGAGATGGTTTCATTTTTTTGATTAAGAGGCTCTCGTAAATAAAATGCTCTTGTGAGTCTGAGCATTAAGAAAGTATTTTAAAATCCTCGAACAAGGTGGTGTGTCCTGTGGATTTAAGGTGTGATAGTATGGAGGAAAGACTGGGATGTTTAGAAGGTTTACCAGTCAAGTATGTTAACAGTTGAATTGAGCACGAAAAAGGACTTCATATTAAGCAATGACTAGCAAAATTATAACTTACTGAATGAGTATGAAAAAGAGTACCAACACAAAAAATTTTTGCCAAATACGAGTGTCTTAAATCATCTAGAAATTTCTGGAAAAGAATCTAGTTTGAGCCATAGATCAACACACCTTGGCATGTCTACATGAGATGTTCAGTTACAAAAGGGGACAACATGTGGCATGGTACAACATTTTATGTATGTGAAATAGCTCTGGTTTAAAACTATCACAGTCTAATTGTCAAAATAAAAAGCTTTATTGGTCAGAAAGACTCTCTACACAGGTCAAAGGCAAATTTGGCGTCTCAGTTTTGTGAACTGATTTTGGATAATTTTGATGTGATGAATCGAAAAATAACACTGTTTTTGCTGGGTCAGGTCGACATTTTAAGCTATCGTTAATTTTCTATTTTTTAACTTTCAAATACCCGAGAAAGGTACAACAGAAGTATTACCATTTACCGTTTAAAGTTCTATTATCTGAACAAATTTAATTTTTTTAGCACTAGCAATACAAAGAAGAAAGCATTTCAATAAACAATTTTTCATTGAATTGTAAGTAGGGAGTCTAAGTTTTGTGATTATTATGCGATATTTAAAGATAAAATAAGGCTTTATTTCGCCCATACTGGAATTCAATGGTAAAACTTGTTGTTAAAACACACCAACATATTAATGTAAGTAAAAATAATAAAAACAAAGTGTTAATTCTTTCATGTTATGAAAAGCAGACGAGAAGTCGCAGAAGGTAAGTCTTACGTATTGGTTAGGTATCCATCTGTCCAGATGTTCTGTGATAAAATGTACATTGCAAATTTTTTTCTGTGTTTTCAAAGTAAAATTATTTCTTTACTGCGCGATTTAAACTGTTCGCAGGACAAAGATATGATTGTGCCGAATTTTTTTGACACAGACTTTAAATTTCTTGGAGACAACATACACAAATTTAATTTTTATTTTTTCAGGTATACATTGGCGACGCGAAGAATATGTGTAAATAAGCCAAATGTTTTTTGCTATGTTGGTGGTGAATACACACTTGCACCAAATCGCAATACTGTCACCACCTTTACGAAGCGCGTTTACAATGCATATTTTGGCATGAAGCTCGGCGATCAAGACGAAAGTTGGACACCTCACATGGTTTACAAAACATGCACTGAGCATATCTCCGTCAATGGAGCAAGGGCACGCGAAAGTCCATGAACTTTGGCATCCCCATGATTTGGCGAGAGCCTTCAAATCATGCAACCGATTGCTACTTTTGTGCTATCAATGTCATGGGAATTAACGAAAAATCGACAAAATGAATACAAAAAATGTAATCATTAAATTTGATAAATAACTTTTGAACTATAAACATCAGTTGCGTGACCGATTTGACATACCCTAGATCCGCCCCCTGCTTTTACATGACATTTCATCAAGCATCAAGACAAAATCTTGACACATTGTCAAAACCTTGACAAAACCTTGTCATTATTCTTTGGTTCTTGACCTTTCAAAGCATTCAAGACATCTTTACGAAAGCCATTATCTCCATCCATAGATTTAGTCCAAGTTGAAGTAACTGTTGGACAGGGAAGTCTGTAAATTATTTACCTTTGTTTGTATTCAGCCTTAGCATTTTGCAGTTAGACTCAATAGTGTCCTCCAAAAGCATCTTCCAATTGTCTTCATAGTGCTCTATAAAATAGTGTTGATACTGGTACTGCAGCATATTCCAGAAACATTTTGCTATCCGATCATCTCTTTATGTTAACAGCAAATTGATCAGAACAAACTCTGCTCTACATTATGTTTAATCTTTGGGAGTGATCGTTTCTTCATAGTATCTGCCCACTGAGTAAAAAGATCAGAATCTTTTTTACGTTACAGAAACTATTTTGCCAACAGATTTAAGGTTTCACACATTAACAAATAAGTAGAAAAGTATATTGATATTTAACAACATAAATAGGAAAAGGCCCAGCTTAGCTGTTGATTTTGAGGGGGGGGGGGCGCTGAATTGAATACGAGTCATCAAGTTTTAAATATGGGCTATAAAAAATAAAAACGCATTTAAAACAGAACAGTTAATTTCACAGTTATATATTCAGTGAATGAAGTTAACTTTAGGGAATTAGGGGAGAGAGGAAGTAGACAGACCAAAATAAAACCTTGTCAGGGGGTCGATTAAAGAATAAGATATTGACGATCATTCTAGAATTAGATGTTTCATTTGTGGCGACAACGCCGGCATAAGTTGTCACGATGACTGTAGACAACATACATGCAGGAGAGAAACTAGAACGCTAATTGGGGGGGGGGGGAATATTCATATATTCAGCTTTGCCCTGCTGATTTCTACTGAATTTAATTTCGCCAACAAAAGAAATCAACAGCAAGGCAGAGCTGAATATAATAATAAATAGGACCATGTAAAAAATATTCATAACTAAATTATAGACGCAATTAAAAGCCGGTTTTGAAAAAATCAAAACAACGGTGTTCACCATAGTTTCTAAGAACGATATGCAAAAGCTTTTAAGCAAAGAAGAAGTGAAAAACACTAAAAAAGCGACAAAGCTGGTTTTGAACATATTTACAGCATGTTTAAACGTGAGGAACTCGAAAAACTGTTTTGTTTCAGCTACAAATTAGCAAAGGCTTGAAAATGTTTTACATTCATCAGGTTTAATAATATTTCAGTTAATTGAGGTGAATAATAAAACAATTATTGAATTCGTTTTTCGCATGATATCAAGAATTGTTCAAACCTCGGTTATTGTTATCCGCCTCAGGCTCGCTTCAGCAGATAACATTGACCTTGGTCATAGTAACTCTTGATATCATGATCAACCTCATCCAATAATTGTTTATTGCAAATTATCGACAGGTGCTCGATATTGATTTTTCCATCGTGTAAATTCTCCAGTGTTATTGTTAAGGCAGTGCGTGTGTTATTGTTAAGACAGTGCAATGTTGAATGTTCTCTATTGATGAGAAATGGTGTGAGTATAAAATTGTTAGAGAATATGAAACATGACCTTTTCATGGTAAGTATAAAAAATACAATACTTACGAATAAACGCTTCGAAAATCATACTTGATGCGCTTCAAAAAATACAAGATGTTGTACGGCGTCCACGACACAAAAAACAAAGCAATGGTGACCAAAAGCATTTTAACGACGCCTTGCCGTGATTGGTAAGTTATGGTGGTCCCAGCGTCCTCTCCAGGTATGGGTTGCCTAAGCTTGCGAATTACGAGTAGGTAAAGTCTGCATATAAACATCAGTGGTACTACGTATAAAAGCACAACTATACCAATGCCATAAATATTTTTCGCTCGCAAACTTGGCCATTGTTCGGTACAGTCGCATGTCAACTGATTCTTGTCTTTGTGTCTACTCGCAGACCGCAATAAATAAGTGTCGGAATGTAGATACACACACACAAGCCAAGTTAAAGGAACGAACCAAAGAATTCGTTTTACTGACCTTCCGTCACCAAATGAAACAGATTTGCAAACAGCGCAGTATCTATCATAAGCTATTACACCAAGAGTAAGGACAGAGGCCCCATAAGGAATGTTGTTCATATTAATCTGAAACTTGCAACCAACTTCACCTACAAAACATCAAATTGAAGATCGTGTTAATGATGGCATGGGAACGCAGGGCACTTACAGAGTACAGAGAAATTCTTGTGTCAAATAGCTTAGCCTTCGTTAAAACGACTGAAATGTCTTCTCATAATCACATACGCATATAATCTTCACATAATCACATTATGCTACTAATTGTCAGAAAATGTTCTAAGAACACTTAAAGTCAAGATTCTGGCTTATACAGTGGTCACCCTACGTTACGAGGTCATGGGGCAAAATCCCGAAAGTTTCATAAGATAAATTTTGTAATATGAAACATACTCCGAAAAAAAAATTCCTGTTTAACACAATATTCTAGAAACAAACAAAACAATTTTTTAACAGTTATATATTTTGAATTTATTGCACATTCATCATGAAACCATAGTTCCAAGCTAAGTGGGGCTGTACCACTCTACTCATATGTGCGTTGTTACATTATTTCAAAGGAAAAAGGAAGTGTGAATTGTACGGGAAGGATGAGTTGATTCTGTGACTTTTATTAAACGGTCACCTCTATTGACCGTGCGCGGTCATCTTTTCCAATGTTTTAAATTAAATTTTTCATTGTTTTAAAACATTATTATGAGGTCGGGTTAAGTAAATATTTCATATAATATAATTGAACATGTCAAAAACCTTATAACCACCTCCTTTGACGACACGCTTTCCTTTGCTTACTTCTTAGCAATTTGAGCTGTGACATTTATGCCTATACTATTTACTATTTTCTGGTTTAAACTAAGAAAAAACTTATTGCTTTATATAGTGTTATTATGGGTAAGTTGGCATGTATGTTGGGGAACAATGCCGTTTGGTACAACTTTAGTAACATTAAATATTATAAGCAGCCCGTCTGGTGATTCATGAAGATCTTTATTATAATTAAGCGGTCAACCTGTATTAAGCAGTCACCGGAGAAATCCCCAAGAGTGACCGCTTGATACAGGTCTACTGTATTTAGGATTCATGGTTAATCAGCCTCCTATAATAAGAGCGAAAAATGAATGTTGACCACATTTATAAAACTCAGCTCTCGAATTTCAATGATATGTATATAGACTTGGTTTGCATCCCTAGATTACTTGAGATGCATAATGAGAACATTGCAAGTTGCAACATCACTTGTATCGTGTATGAGGGAATACGGCTGGTAGGTTGATGTAAGTATGACACGACCATGAGTGCCATATGCTGCCATTATTTGAATGAAATTATGGTAATACATGTTTGATATAATGAGGAAATAACTTACCAATATTAAGATCTTTGACGAGGAAATCAGCGACGTGAAAAATACTCGATAAAGTTTGAATAAGGTCAGCGATGGCCAAATTCACTAACAAATAATTAATTGTTACTTCATGCATTTTGCGATTGGTCGAAACAACGTAAATAACTAATAAATTGCCACCAAAAGCCACCAAGAAAATAATCCCATAAAGCGTCATGAATAACGGGACGAGTGTTATCCTATTGTATATTTTATCTTGTTCCGTTGTGTTGTTAACAGTCGATCCATTTAAAGAAACATTTGATTGAAATGTGCGAATTAGCATTGACATCGTGTCGCCGGGTCGTTAAACTGCCAACGTTTTCTTGCAATTTCAACATGAAAATAGAACAAAATAAAGTTTCTGCTTCGTGACTAATGTTCTTTGGTGGCGCTTCCCACAATATCAAATATTTGTATTTGCCGAGTCACGCTGACTCACGCGCTTCCAGTAATATGAGGAAGTGATGAGCAAGCGGTAATATAAATCCTCGTGAATTTCCGCAAATAAGGATAATGCAATGTTCTTCCTGTGGCAAATTTATTCTGTTACCTGCCAAAACATTTAACAATGAATATTCTCAGGAGTAGTCAGCATAACTTTTAGGTTTTCTTTCAGTGATATACACAGCTCAACAACTGGGGAGGGAGAATATTCATATTTGCATGTTATAATCCATAAAAACACAAAGGATTTCAAAATGACTAATAATGTATGCATGAATATTCCACCCTTATTAGTCACGTTGGCTACGCCACTCTTTCTTTCATAATTTAAAGAAACTCTTGTAATAAATTTCATTCTTGAAATTGCAATGTAATTTTCAACATTCAGAAATGTGCCTGGTCCTTATGAAATTAAAAAACGTTAGACGACTATTTAGACGACTCGAAAATCCTCAGATCTTTCCACATTCCAGAGTCCGAAACAGCAATGCTGGAAATAGAGGAAGATCTCCAAAGAGTCGCAATTTGGTGCTGCGAAAACCACCTCCTTATCAATCCAGAAAAAACAAAATTTCTCTTGCTTGGCACGCGACAACTTATGAACAGACTACCAGCACAACCATCCCTGTCCTTCCTGGGTAAAACTCTAACTCCCGTGAGCTCAGCCAAAGACTTAGGTTTCACTTTGGATTCTCATCTGTCGTATAATGATCACATCTCAAAGCTAGCATCATCATGTCTGTCCAAGTTAATACAAATAAGCCGAAAGTTCCATAAGTGTTCTCACGATCGGTCCACCCGTAATAGAGACCTATTTCAAATTCCGAGGTTCAAAACATCAACGGGCCAACACACATTTTCATATAGGGCAGTCAAATTGTGGAACAATTTAGACAAAGATGTGAAAGATTCCAAGTCTCTTGATTCTTTTAAGAAAGCTTTAAAGATCTTTTGTAGTTCCATCTTGAAATGTAACTTTTATCTTCGAAAATCTTTTAATAATAATCTTTTTTTCATACATTTATAAGACAAATATGTATATGTATTTAATTTTGTAAATAGTTACTGAAAACCCCTATAGGGAATACCTATTGTTTCTCATCAAAGTCTTTAAAAGAAAGTGATTTTAAGTTTGTGTTGCATTTAAATCTGATATGAGAAAGAATGGTCAGAATGGTTGTCAAATCGATCACAATAAGACAAAGCGGTATTTGGATAATTCATGAGTGCCATGAGACAAATATCTCAAGCCTAAAATCGTTTGACAAGTCAGATTTGAGAAAATAAATTTTTGCTTATGTGGGTTGCATGTCACGTCACGGCAGCCATATCGGTAGTGAAATACAAAACAACAATCCGTCGTGGTGAGCCTTATTTGTTTGATAATTCCGTGGATGTTGTTTTCAATCCAGGAACAAAGGATGTCAAAAAATCCGGAACACCGATTTTTGGGTGCATATCGAATTAGTTTGTTGTATCAATTAAAACATTATTTGTATTATTTATCTACTCCCATGCGAAAAGATAAATGTCAATGCCACAATACACGAAACTGATATGCGTTTCATAAAAATTCTGTTTATATTATGCAGCAAAGTAATTCAATGTGCAAGCATAAATCTATGTTCTCCTGTTATGTTAGACACCCCGTGTGCAACGTTTGAACTCCCTTACGAAAATTATCAATAGGATCTTATTAGAATTCCAATAGGAATATAAGATTCCTGTAGGAAATCCTATAGGAAGGCAGAGTGAATTCATTTTCATTCCGATTCCGATAGGAAATATATTAAGAAAATGGCGGCAATTTTAAAGCCTATAAGAATATTTGAATTCCTGTAGGAAATCCTATAGGAATCCATAATGGTGATTTGTTTTGCAATTCCGACTGGAAATCCTTATTGGAATTCTTATATGAATTCCTATAGGTTCTTACAGCATCCTATAGATTATTCCTATAGGCTCATGGGCCAATTTCAAATAGGATCCTGTAGAAAGTTTTAATAGGAATTCCTATTGATATTTTTCGTAAGGGTTTCTGTTTCTTGCCGTAAAAAGATTAGGACGCTATTAATTTTTCTTCCATTGATGTTGAAAATAAAACTTACATCGTAAACATATAACTGAGAGCTGACTATATGTTTTAGCTTTGGTAATTATATGTTTTGATATGCTTTTTTCCCTATTTTTAACCTTAGACAGGTAATTTGGCAACGAAGAACCAAAGGAGCCAAAATAACGTCAAGACCTCCTGCTTTGAAATCCTTGCCACCAACAGATGACGTCCTTGATTTCAATATCAAACGTGCAAGATACCAACGTCTGATTTGGGGTTCCTGCCTTCAGTGTGATCCTCCGGCATATGATCCATGTAAGGTAGGGAAAAAAGACTTCTTATATCAATAACATATTGTGTCATGGAGGTGGGAAAAATGAATTTTACCCACAAATATATATGATTTAAGAATTCTTTTGTACTTTATTATTTTAGTATGGTTGGTTAAAAGATACTGAAACCAAAACGTTACAACCAATTATGATGCCTAGGGGAATGAAAGCTGCTCCTGATGAAGTGCTCAAAATTAACAGCTGTGGCTGCTCAGGTACTACTTTTAAATATAAAAAGCAATTCTTAGAAAAAATATTCCCAATCAAATACCTTCAATTTTAAATTAACTTGCAAACTTCAACGTTCATAAACATTGATTAAAGTTGTTATTATAGTTTTTCTTCTGAACGAAGTGTCATTAATATTTCATAGTAGGATTGACCATCACAACTAAGCATTTACGGTAAAATAAATGCTGAGAAAATAAGCTTTAAAAATTATATTTAATATTTAGTTTCGAAATGCAAGTCAATGGCCTGTTCCTGTGCAAATTCACAGATTGGATGCACAGAACATTGTAAATGCGAGGGAGATTGTCGAAATATATGGAATGCCGGTGGCTAAGCGGAAGATGATGGTGATAATTCTGGAGAAGAAGAATCAGCAAGTGAAGATGAAAATGAAACATGATAGACAATGTGATAGGATAATGTTTTCAAAAATTAATGAAACATTTATTGTAAATGTAACTTAATCGGTGTATATTTGGGTTTTTTAGTGAAAAAATGTTATGAATTGGCCTATCCAAAAGTTTTAATATCATCTAAATATATTAATTTGCATTAAGATTCGCTAAATAAAACGTCTTACAGGAGCTTATGCTAAAAAAATGATATAAGAAGTATTTTTGACTATCAAGTATTGAAATTTTGGTACCAAGGAATACACGGTTTTTCCGATTTTTCCCATTTTGCTAGTAGGTTATATTTTGCCCTTGCCCAGGGTTTGGGAAGTGCCAATATGTCCTAAAATACTTTCATATGGTCCCTGAACACATTTCTGGAAAAAAGTTCCACTTAGTATTTTTGTCGAGGTACCCTTAACTCAGCCCCTGACTATAAGCATGACACATTAACAATTTGAACATTCATGTAATTATATAATAAAAGACATGTTGGTTACATTCTGTTTGTATTTGATAATACAATGCTACTAGTGATTGCTATATAGCACACCTTGAAGAAGATAATAGTCAAATGAAATGCCTAATAAACATTTATGGCATTAAGCTGTCCTTAACTGCAAATTTTCACTCTGATAATTTTTGCTTAATCTTTGGCAGAAAAAAATTTTGAGTTTTTCCTCAAAAGGTGAATTTGCTGGCACTGATGTGGAGATGGGTAAAGGGTTACAATAAACTTGCATGGTTTGAAGTCTGAGCTTTTCTATATCTATGAACTGTCACATGTACTACCAAATTTCTAACTTAACTCATTACATAGAGGTTTGAATGGGGGTCTCTAGGGGGGTCTATGCCTGACAACTTGGTAGAAATTTTTAAAGACTATTTCTGTTTTTGAATAGCACTATTGTAAAATAAATTTTACGTTCCTAAACATGCTAATGAGCCATATATTTGGCATGATAATGAGCCTAAATATTTAGCAAAACATTCAAGTATTGTTCACTTCATTCTTTTTTTTGAAAAAAACGTAAGCAAAATGTGTTGTTTTTACGCAAAAACGATGCCCACAAAATACATTTTGTAATGCTCTAAAACGCTGAAATGGCATTTTTAATGCCCTGAAATTCAAAATTTCTCAGGGGAGAATGCCTCAGACCCCCAGTTGCGGAGCGCTTCCGACGTTTTATGACTAATGTTTGAAAAATCCTAGATCAGCCCCTGTATATAACCAAACATCAACAAAACTTAATGCTTTTTATAATATTTAATTTTAAAATATTATTACAGTTAAATAAAAGTAAACCCACGTAACGTCTCATCACAGCTGCAAATGTGAATAGGCACGTTCCCTAAGACAAAGCGCATTCAAAAGTATTCAAATTTACCATAATTTATTCGACTAAAACCCATACTGAACAGTAAATTTTGACTATTTTAAGCAAAATCATTACATTAAATTCCATAAAATATCAATAACCTCAATGATCAAATGTTTGTCAATATTTAAGGTTATGGAAACAATCATAAACTGACGGAAACAAAAAATGACGTTTTTACGATAATTTCTAGCTTTTTCATTTTTTCTAAATTTCACTTTCCAAATGCCATGGAAAATGGTTCATTAGTTTTTAAGTTGTTCAAGTAAAGTGTTTTAAAAAATAGCAGTAGAAGTTTACGCATCTGCTCTTTCTCATTCGTTCTAACTTATTGTTTTAAACACTCCAAATACACTCGCTCATGTTTCACTTCCCTAGACACCGCCAACACTCAAATTTTTCTAAAACTTAATGAAGCCTTACACATACGCAAAAAAACCCAGTCTTAACAAATAAATTAAACATTTTAACACCATTTTCTACTTATAAGTATTCTAACCTGTCTCTATCAAACTCATAACATATTAATCCTAACACGGTTTTT